CGGCAAATGTACATCATGGATACGAATGGTGTATGAATTTGTTTAGTCTTGCCCAAGTGTTGTTTACAAATTAGCTAGCAAAAAGAAAGAAAAAAATCGTTAAAACAATTGAATTCGAATTGAAACAAAAATGCAAAGAAAACGAGCTGCGTTTAAAACCGGACGGACAAGTTTCTTTTTTCTTTTTTTGTTTTTTATTATTATTTTTTTGTTTTATTTCTTTTTTTTTGGGGTAGCTGTTTTGGGGGCGGCAAATTAAATTTTAACTGCATTGAACTTGGCTGGCTCTATTTTCTGGTTCTGGCTACTAGCGTGCCGCAATTAGTGGCACGGGGTTTTGGGTTGCGGCGGGCGGCTGTACAAAACGTGAACCTGTGCATTGAGTGTCGTTTCAAAAATTTATATCTCGATTTCACATCTAAATGCGAATAATCTTTTTTTCCTATTTTTTTTTTTCAATTTGTTTTTTTTATGCTTTGTGTGTGTGTGTGTGTGTGTGTGTGTTGAGTTCAGTGCTGGGTTCACTTGATTTGTGTGTGAGAATTGCCGCAGCTGTTTAGCATTCGAGCGCGATTTCTTTATTACTTTTATTTCATTTTTGAATTGTATCTACACACACATACACACACACACACAGATGCGTATACTATATATATATATATATTTAATGCCGATATGAATCGGTGCTTTGTACTGTGCTATATTATTCTGGAATCGCTGACTGCCTGGCTAACTGGCATTTAATTTCACTCAATGCAATTGAAACTGAAAAATTGTATTTCGCTCCAATTTTGTGCCAAACATCAGTTGCCACTGTGTACACATTTTTTATTTGTCACTTTATTTATTAGTATAAATATACATATACTATATATTAATCGGAACACGACATTCAAATACTTGTTCACATTCGCCACTGACCAGCTGCATAGTCAACATTGACAACTGATTTAAAAGTACTTTGTTCAAATTTACAAATAACGCTTTTGAAAAGTTCTTTAAAGCCACGAAAATGTATCTTTCGTATATACAAGCTTTATATGATCGAAGGATTATTCACAAAGATTTAAGCACATCTTTAATGAATTTACTTGACTTAAGTTGAGGCCAAAGGTTGAATAAAAATGAGTGTTACATAATTTGTTCATCCTGTTGCTAAAATAAAACCGGAGTTATAAATTCCTTTGAATTTCTTAGAACTTCATATTTGGCCTACGTGTTGCAGTCACCAGTTGCATGGATTTTCAGTTGACTTAACTATCAACTTGTCAGTTAGTTTGTTAGTTGGTCATTCAATCAGTCACTCAATTGAATAAGTTTAGTTTATTTATTATTTGTTTACTTTGTATGTGAAATCTATGATTATATAAATAAAAATATACAAGTTTTATATTTAAATTTCACTCTCTCCCTCTCTCGCTCAATATCTTTCTCTTTGCTCTTTTTAATACTTATTCAAATGCATTTAAAAGAACCTTTTCTTTTTGTCGAACAATTCCACACTGAGAAGTGCATTTTGAGTGCATCTTGAGAGCGGTGCCACAGATGCCTGTTTCTGGTATTTGATAAGCCCCTTAAATGCACCAATGACATATGCACATATATATATATAATGTCGCGATGAATGAAGGGTTGGGGGGGCAAGCAAAAGACAATGAGTCTTTTGGCTGAAATGGAGAGGAGCACGCTCTCCGGCAGGCTTAATACATTTTAGTGCTATAATGCGCCGCTTACTCACTGCTTACCCATTGCCCACCCACTGCCTACCCACTGCCGCCTGCCTGTTCCGCTGCCCATTCCAATGACCAATTACTCATATAAATTATAGAAGAGAAATGAATCAGTGCACAGCCAGCCCTGACTGACTAATAAATAAAAGCGGCTGCTCTAATAAATGTAATTGGCAATCGGGGCAGTTCGCAACTATTTCTGCATAACTGGGTCAAATTGTAAGACCAGCCGCCTGGCAACCAATTGGATGCCTGAGAGGGGGCAGCGTTGCAGAGTAGTATGTAGTATGTAATGTATCAGGGGGGTGTGGTGGGGGTTGATACAGAGGGGCTATTTCGTTGTAATTTACGCTCGGTGCACATTAATTGTGTGTGTGTGTGCGTGTGTGCGAGTGTGCGTGTGTGCGAGTGTACACAAAAGGACATATCCTTGGCGACAAATGGACTTGTGCTCATATACGTATTAAATTTCCATTTCTTGAATTTTGCCCATACATACGTATATGTATATGTATTTTTGTATTTGTTGCAAGCAAATTCAATGAAGCCATTTAGTTTTCGGCTTCCTCTTTTTTTTCTTTTCTTTTTTTTGCGACTCCCCCTTTGCCCCTCCCCCTAATTTCAGTCGGTACGTTTTTCTTTTCATATTTCTGTGTGTTGATTTGGAGGGGTGGTGGCTGGTGGGTGGTGGTTGTAGCGATTGCCCTCGAGTGTGACCCACATACGCGTTGTAAGGCAGCAGCCCAGCGCTCTACTTCACGTCCTCCTCGCAAAGACATAATGCAGCGCCTTGGCAACTTCCCTTGCCAGCTTGCCAGAGTATCCTGGAGGACGCTATTGTCGGCATGTGGTCGTAGTCTCGTCTCGCATATAATATATATTTATATGAGAGTACATACACACATATCTTACGATTTAATAGCACCAATTAGTTAGATGAATTGAATATATATATATATTTTTTGGTTTTTTTTTTTGCTTTTGCCAGATTTAAGTTTATGAATATTCAATGAAGTGTGTGCCCATAAATTATGAATGCCATTTGTTAGCATTTTCGTGTAGATTTTATGGCCTTGAGGCTCAGAGCATCAAGGATACGCTCTTCAAGAAATTTAAATATTAAATATGAAATATGAAATAGCTGCTTCTCAAATGAAATGCGAGAATCTCTTTAAAGAGGCGCCAAACAAATTTTGAGCTATGCACTGCCTAATCCTTTTGGCAGGACATGCGTGTGTCATGTTAAGCATAACTAATTTATGCACACTATGCCAATATAATAGTTCCTGTCCAGCGCAGATAATTTTGTAAGATAATTTCCTTTAGGAATATTAGCATAATAAAAACGTTTCACTGTTTAAATTACTGCCAAAGCAGCCAAACATGTTTGCAATTGCCAGACATGTGCCAGGATAAGGAAAAGGATAATGCGTGGGCTGGGATGGGGGGGATGGTGGATGGTGGATTGGGCTTAGAGGACGCACTTAAGCATTTAAATAAAAATGATAACTTTATGCAAGAACTATACAGCAGAAAGGGTAAAGTGGCAAATGGTTGGAGCGAAGGGAAGCAGCGGAAGAAAGGGGAAAAGCGTGGGCTAAAACCGAAATGTCATTACGACGACGCCAGGAGACGCCAACAGGACTCGACTGACGCCAAGTAAAAGTTTTTGACTCGCACAAAAAAAAAGAAAAAGAAAAGGGAATGAACAAAAAAAATTGATATTAGAAGGTCTGTAGCCTGGCGGTGTTGCTCCTGTCTGCCCTATCTCCAGCCGGCTGCCGTCTGTTGTCTGCGCACAGGTTTTAGTCGCCATACACCCACACACACACACACACTCAGACACACACACACATGTCCTGGTAACGGTGATAAATGGCGCCAATGTGCCGCCTGAAGTCGCGACGCATCGCAGCCGCCATCGCATTTGGATCGGTTTTGGCAGTTGGTGTTTGGGATTGGGATTGGGGTTTCTTTTTTTTTTTTTTTTTAGTGGGGGAATCTGTGGCTGCTCTGCTTTTAGAGTTAGTTTAGTTTGTAATGCTCCATTTAGTTGGAATGCTAGTATCAGCATCACTTTTTTTTTCCATATACGCCATATATTCATTCAATTTTCCCAAAAAATTGTTGTAACCGATGACAAATCCGCTCTAAACGTGTTTGATTGTTTCTATTTTTTGTTTGATGGGGTATGTATTTGGTGTGTGTTTTGTGGTTGTTGCTTTGAATACCCTGTAAGCAGTGTATGTGTTTAAAAAGGTTGTTATAAACGTATGTAAATGTGTGGAACACATGGAGACAACTCCGTGCACATCAACTGAGTTGATCTAGCATCATCTGCTCATCTGTCTCCTCTTAAGCTAAGTGATTATTTGCTTATCTTGAGAGGAAAGTTGACAAAACATTTTTAAGTTTTTGATAAGAAAATGCCACGATGCATTTGAATGTCAGCTGTATGCCTTATAAATTCAATGAAGATCAGACAATAGGTACTGAAGTTCTTTAAGAATGAGACTAATTATAGGGTATCTAGCAAGCGGTACACTCACCAGCAGCAGTCACTCTTTCATGTTGTTACCTTCTGTGCGTTTAGTGGGGGCATGGCATGGGCATCAATGATGCTACAAATTTTATACCGTTTTGTTTGTTTGTCTAGTTTGTCGCGTTTGTCGCGTTTGTCGATTTGCTGTTGTCAGTGCGTTGCGCATGACGATATTTATGACTATTGTTATAAAATATGAATTGACAGCTTAAGCGACAGGCAACGACCACGATGACAACGACAATCGACAAGCGACACAGACGCAGAAGCAGACACAGGACGCGAATAAGAACGACAGCCAAGTGAAGACAACTTCCAATTAGAGAGAACCCGTGTGTGTGTGTTGGGTGTGTGTGTGTGTGTTGGGTGTGTGTGTGTGTGTTGGGTGTTGGGTGTGTGTATATTCTAAAAACCATAAAAATGTCGTCAGACAATTGAATGGCGAAAAACCGGGAAAAGGAAACGTAACGCAAAACCTTACCATATATTTACCCTTAACCCCCCAATTCCTATTCCCAATCCCATGCCCATAACTACACACACACACACACACAGGAAGTTAACGCAATTGCTTACAAATTGTTACATCAGCGTGAATCTTTGAATTGAACTGCTGCTCAAGCTCAGCAGCAATCGAGCAGGATTTGCAAATTCCGCAAAAAAAAAGATATCGAATCCGGAGACGTCTCACTAATTGCCACAATTGATTCATTTATCGCATTTTGCAGAACTCCATCAGGCACAATCTGTCGCTGCACAGTCGGTTTATGCGCGTCCAGAACGAGGGCACCGGCAAATCGTCTTGGTGGATGCTCAATCCGGATGCAAAGCCGGGCAAATCGGTGCGTCGCCGTGCCGCCTCAATGGAAACATCACGCTACGAGAAGCGTCGCGGCCGGGCAAAAAAGCGTGTGGAGGCCCTGCGACAGGCCGGAGCTGTTGGCCTCAACGATGCGACGCCCTCGCCGAGCAGCAGCGTCAGCGAGGGCTTGGATCACTTTCCAGAGAGTCCGTTGCACAGGTAACTATTAACTATTGAGCACGCAACAATTTGACAACTCAAAAAGTAGCTTAGTTTTTCACTTACGGTTCAAGTTCGATCTAGTATTTTGTGACACAAGTTTCTCATCGTTTTAAAGTGCCTGCAATTCGTATTAGTTAAGCTAAATACCAATTAATAATTTAACTGCACTAACTTACAACTAAATGTTTGTACAACTACAATTACAAACTAACAAAGCTCAATATACATTTAACTTAAACAACTATGATTTCAATTATAAAAAACTGAACAAATCTGAGTTAAATATTCATTTAAAACTAAGACGCTCAAAGTCAGCTGTTTATTATTTAGCTGGCAATTTGATTGGTTTCTTCTATCAACTTATGAGAACTGATTTTTAAAAATGTCAGCAGTTAATTATTATTATTATTATTATTTGGGGGCTTCACACACTGTGTTTTCTGTTACCAATTCGATCTATTGTGTCCCCTTCTAATTCTCACATAAACTTGAGCTGACAAACGTAATTAGACATTAAGCAAAATGGGTTTTAGCAGTAGAATTTTCAATTGAGTCTTGTAAATTATGTTTAAGTAGCAATGATTTAGATTTATGATTTGTAACTTCTATTTGTAATTAATAAGCATGCTTAAGTAGCTTACAAATTTGCCACAAAATGCGTGCTTTAACTTACACCTAAATACTTAGTGTATTCATATATTTGAGTGCTGGCTTTCTAGCTGTAAGCGAATGTATCTTTTGTCATTTTGGAAGGAAGGAGAAGAGTCTTAACTTTAAGTTAGCTATTTATAATTTACAATTTGACAAAACTATTTGTGTTTATTACATTACATATTGTTGCGTTGAGTACGTTTTTGATTTTGCATTGTTTATTTTCCTTTCTTGTTTTCTTTACATTTGTTGTCTATCGTTTTGCGGTTCAGCGGCGGCTTTCAACTGTCGCCCGATTTCCGTCAGCGCGCCTCATCCAATGCCAGTTCCTGCGGACGCTTGAGTCCCATACGCGCCCTGGATCTCGAGCCCGATTGGGGCTACTCCGTTGACTATCAGAATACGACAATGACGCAGGCGCAGGCGCAGGCACTCGACCAGCTGACCGGCTCCATGGCGGATGAGCTGAAACTCCAGAACGACATGTTGCAGCAGCAAGGGTCAGTTGTTGATGATTGTGTTGTGTGGTTTAATTGTTTCTTAAGTTTGTTGTCTTTTCTGTTCGTTTCAAACAAGCTTTGCATGCTACACAATATCTAGCTATCTATCTCATCTATATATACATATATATATATATATTTATACATATTATGGAGCTTAATCTTGTTTTGTCGTCAAGCTCGGAAAATGAGGAAAACCGAATTCGTTCTTCTTTTTTTTTATACCGATGAAAGCTTATGAAACCTTTTCCAAAATCCATTCGAAAGTTTTTATTATTTAAATGAGACTCGCCTGTTTGGAATGCTGGCAATCTATTTGAAATTTTCGTCTGATTGGTCCATAAAAAACTTATCGATAAAAAAGGACATACAACACACAGCTAGAAAAGGCTTTTGCACGATTTGCGTTGTTGTCAATATAATAATGATCTATATAATAAAATTCACTGCATAACAAATATTTGAAACGGGAGAAGCATTTGAAAGGCGAAAGGATGATTGTTGTCCGATAGACAATTGAACAGTTGCCCTGTAGACTAACTGAAAGTAATCGGATAATGCGTTATCTGTTTTGTTTGGAAACTGTTCTATAAAGTCAACATTTGTTTTTATAATTCTTGCAACCCAACGATCGTACGGCTGGAGCAGGTTCAGTGCAGCATCTGGTCTGCCGACGCAGCCACCACCACCATACCAGCAGCAGCAGCAGCAGCAGCAACAGCAGGCGCAACAACAGTCGCAGCTACCACAAGGCTATACACTCAACGGACCCGTCTCTGCCCCCGGCTACAATACACTGCAACCACAAGCGCAACAACAACAACAACAGCAGCAGCAGCAACAACAACAGCAGCAGCAGCCACAGTGCTTGTTGCATCGTTCGCTCAACTGCGGCTGCTTACACAGTACGCGAGATGTGAGTTAAACGAAACTAATCGAAACTAAACTATTATCTAAATATAATTAAGTTACTTGAACTAACTGTTGTTTTTATTTGTATTTAGGGCCTGTCGCCAAATTCAGTCACCACCACCATGTCGCCTGCGTATCCCAACAGTGAGCCCTCGTCGGACTCCCTTAACACCTATAGCAATAGCATTCTGTTAGATGCTGCTTCGGATAATGGTTCACTGCTTGTACAGCAACAACAACAACAGCAGCAACAGCAACAACAGCAGCAGCAGCAGCAGCAGCAGTTGTCCTCTGGTTTGGAGGGTAAGTTTATAAGACTTGGCATTCGCAACACTATCTCTCTTCAATCTATTCAATCTATATCTCTGTATTGTGCATCTTAACTGTCGTGCTGCCTGAGCAGATAATAACTGCGCCTCTACTTTGATAGGACAATGCCTGGAGGCGCTCAACAGTGAGCAAATTGACGAATTTAACTTGGAGAACTTTCAGGGCGGTCTCGAGTGCAACGTCGAAGAGGTGAGTAAATATCTATAATTATAATGTGGTATATGCATAAGTAAATAGGTTTACCAACAGATGAGATCAACTTTAACTCTCTCTCTCTCAACGATTTCTTATTTATCTGGTTAATCATAGAGGGAATGACATTATCTATACACAAACTTCTTCATCTTCCTGTCCTGTCAAAACAATTTTGCTTAGCTATAAGGGTTTTTGTATCCTTTGTTATTGATTCATTCTTTTTGCCCATTGTTGATACTTTATGTACATTTTTTATATTATCTTAACTATAATATATATATATGTATATATAAGTCTATATAAGTCTATATGTCATAAGGATTACGAGGCTAACATTTCAGTTGAAGCTTTGTTTTAGAACGTAATTTACACTTAAGTTCAAGGTTTACTCATATTCAACTGATTGAAACCTTTTTTAAAGATTTATCTTTTTCAAACAATGTTAATTAGTAGTTTTTCCGATGTAACCGTACTGTTAACGAAATATAATTCGTCTGTCGACTATCAGAAAAGATGATAGCTAATAATAGATATAAGTAAATCTATAAAATAAATTGATATAAATCTGCTCTCTTCTTTAGCTGCTGCAGCAGGAGATGATATACGATGGCCTGCTGGATATAAATATACCGCTGCCGGCGGTCAACACGAATGCTACCAATGTGATCTTAACCAATAATAGTACAAACAACAGCAGCAGTGGCTGCAACATCAGTGCAGGTGTGCAGTTGAGTTGCAGTCAGTTGCAGGCAGAATTGCAATTGCAACAGCAGCAGCAACAACAGCAGCAACAGCAACAACAGCAGCAACAGCAGCAACAGCAGCAGCAGCAACAGTTGCTGTTGAGCAACAATAACAATAACAACAACAATAGCCTGGAGTTGGCCACACAAACAGCGACCCGAGTGCAGTACACACAACCCAGTGTGGTCACCTCGCCCCCCTCCTGGGTGCATTAGATCCGTTCGAGATCTCCAAATAGCTTGGAACCACCGCTTGTTAAGACGTTGGCTGGGCCTAAACTAAACGACAATATTGTGTACAATTTAAGCAGAACAGCGGAGATACAACGATAAGCACAATGAGAAGGGACTTGTTGAGGTTGAGGATTGGGGTGTTTTGTGGATTGAGGAGCTGAGGAGCTGAGGAGCTGAGGCGCTGAGGCGCTGAGGAGCTGAGGAGCTGCAGCTGGCCGCCCACTACAATTTACAAAGTGAGTAGAGAGCCGAGTCGAGAGACGATACATTCGCTTTCAATTTGCATCAAGCCTAAAAGCCATTCAATGTGACAGTTATGCATAAATTATGTTAATAATGTAAAATCACGGCGCATAAAGCGATACATTATGAATATGTAAGAGGCTAAAATACAGAAAATGGTAGACAAAGGCACAACTACTCTTCAAGTCACCCTCAAACCCTCCCCCAAAACCCACGCTGCAACATTTTTCTTTTCATTGCGCGTCCTGTTTATAAGTATATATATATATATATATATATATATATATATAAATCGCCTTAGTTCAGTTCATTTGACTGTTCCATGAATCTTTCATTGCCAGTTAGAGTACTTATTCTGACTGCAGACTGTTGGACTTTTTTTCTCTGTCTTTTAGCTTGCCATCTAACGCTACTTGAGGGCAATTACACGCGTTCAATTATCATAATACAATGTCAAGTGCTCCCGCCCTGGTCAAAACAAAACAAAAAAAAAAATATATATATATATATCCGTATATATATATATATATAAGTAGAAAATACAGACTTAAAGCGCTGTTTTCCTTTTTGCCACTTTGCGACTTTAAAGCGGCGCACGCTTCAAAATTATAGGAAATTAAGTCAATTTACCGGTGCCAAATGAAATATGTATAAGAGCCAGAATGTGGGCAGTGGCATTCAAGTGTCTTTATGTCCTTATGTCCTTATGTCCTTAGGTACTGTGCCACCTCCCCCCCGTTCATCATCCCTCTGTCGCTCACGTAATGGTTGCGCTAATTTGGTTTGGCCAAGCGGCCCCAAGCATTTCTCACAGGTCCTTTTTAGCAACCGCGGCGCAAATTCGTCAAGGCAACCTGAACCTGAATTTGCCTGAACTGAAGTGAGCGTTCAGTCAGCGGCAGGCAGCAGCAGGCAGCAAAGCAAATGCTGAAAAATTAATTACGTCCTTAGGGTGACTTATGCACGGCTAGTCCGCATCATGTCCTTCTGCTCGTTGTTGTCCTTGTTGTTGTCGTTGCTGTTAGCCATGGCAAGGAAAACCTATGGCTATTTACCTGTTTTGCCCTCGCTCAAATCAAGTGTGTTAAGTGTGCAGCTAATATTGAGAAATTACATTTGAATTTTTCGCATATTTTACAAGAGTTTTGCCATCGAATAATCGACGAGATTTTCGAGTGCTGCATCCTTAAAACCCTTTAACCCCTTTTGTGTTTTGGAGTGTTCTCGCTTTGACATAGTTGAGTCAAGTTCGCTGACTTGTCGCAAGGGATGTGGCAACATGCATTGAGTGCTGCTATTTAATTTACTTTTTGAGCCTTCTATGCCAATCTATATATGAATTGAGAAGGGCAAAAAAATTTGTTTAAATTGAATGAAAATTTGTGGAAAATTCGAGTAATCAAATAAAATTGACTGAATGGTTTCGCTTTGGTTTTAAATAAATCATGGATTTTAGTGTAAATATTTACAGCGTATTAAAGAGTCGGATACTAGCCAGCTTGCTGGTTCCAATACCTTTGCTCATTTTCATTATTTCTGGCTATTTTCAATGTCAGTTAAGCTGTCAGTTTGCATTTTTGCTTTGTGTCCAAGTGTTTTTTGTTGTTGTATATTTTTTCCTGTTGCGGCCAACAATGGGCGACAAAAAACCCAAAGAAATGCCATGAAAAAGTTTTTAACTGAACCCCGCCCCCAATGCTGCCACCCCCGCTGCTGCTGCTGCCTTCGTTTAGTGCAGTACGCACAAATTGAATTCCACATTAAGTTTGTAAGCCAACAATTAGAAAACAGCAAAGCGACCAGAAAAAAAAGACATTTTGCCCAAGAAAAAGTTGGCAAGAAGGCAAGAAAGAGAAAGGGAGAGTCAGAAAGAGAGACAGAGAGAGAGAGAGGGAGAGAGAGAGGGAGAAACGCTGAGAGTGAGAAGAAGTCGCCAGTCGCCGCGGCAGCAGGACAAAGTTGTAACTTTGTCAAGTTCTGGCGCCAATCGTGTGATGTGCTAATAAAATAAAATCAAATCGTCTTCGAGGGTGGGCAGTGGTTGGGGGAAGGGTGGTTGAAGTTGGATGCAAGGGGTGCAAGGGGGGGGGGGGGGGTTGGCTCTATGAAATTTATGCCAAGTGCAAACTTTTGTGTTTGGCTCTGCTGCCGCTTCATTTGAGTGAATAATTTGAATTGCAGCCCAACAGTTTGAGCGGATTTACATTTTTTCCATTCTCTTTTTTTTTTTTTTTTTTGTTCTCAGATTTTATAATTTCGCTAACTGACAGCGCTTAATATTTCTCATATATATTTAGAATTTTTAAAATTCTTACAATTTGTATTATGCAAATGCTGTGTGGCATGCTTTAAACTTGCGCATTGCATATTTAATGGAATACAAAAAAAAAAAAAAAAAAAAAAAACTGAAAGAAAGAAAAAGCTGAATGCGCATGTTTAAGGACATGCTCACGGCTGGGTCTAATAAGCCGCCAGCGACACATGTCAATAAACGGCTAAAGTTGCTGTGCCAGCTGCAAGGGAGGAGGGGGAGGGGCGGAGTGTATAAGGTGTAAGCTTCCCGCAGGATATCACAATTTCCAGCTTCGCGTTCTCGTCCTCGTCCGCGTCCTCGTCGTTGTCGTTGTCGTCGTTCTCATCATCATCGTCCGCAGATTGACTCACTTGACACATAATAAAGTCACACAAATTATGGCTGCAGCTGCTGTGTGGCAGGAGGCAAAGGAATGGGTGGAGGAGAGGGAAGAGAGGTGGTTGGTGGCATGTCTCCTGGTTGCCCCCGGTGAAAGCGCGCGTGAAACACAAAAGCATTTTAAGGCAATTTATTAGTTGAAAAGCGGCGTACAAAAAAAAAAATGCAAAAAAAGCAAAAACCAAAAGGCGCGATTTCTGTTGATTTTTTTTTTGTGTGTGTGTGTGTGTGTGTCCTGTGTGTCCTGTGTAGATTGAGATCGAGGCTGACATTGGAGGCGTTGTCCTGGCCTACCATTTGGCCTGGCCTAGGCAACGGCGACCCAAAAGTTTTTCTATTTCTTGTGTTCGGATTCCTATAGGTGTTGCAACTTGTCCGCAACTCGCTGAATTATTCAAGCATTCAAGTTTGGTTTCAGCGACAAGTTTCTTTTTCTTTTTTTTTTCTGTTCTTTTCTTTTCTGTTTTTTTTTTTTTTTTCATTCATTGTTCATTTGATTAAATTTTAATGCCAACGTGCATCATTAATAAATGTCTGGGGACTTTGCCGGCACAAATTGAGTTAGTTTTGACAGTGCCCAGGAGATCAAACTCTTATCGCACTTCAGCCACTAACTGAGGGCTAATTGTGCAACTGTTCCTCTGATTGAAAACTTGATTATGCTCCGGAAAAGCGAACGGTGACATTCGAACTGACTAACTAACTAACTAACTCACTAAATGACTGGTTGACGGACAACTCAACAACTCAACAACCAGCAGAATCAATTTGCCAGCACCGAATTTATAATGATACAAATTGTCAGCAATTTAATAGCATTTAAGCTGCCGACAGGAAGCTCAACGACAAAAGGACACACACACACACACACGCACAACTTGGCAGGGGCTGGGGATTGGAGTGCTGGATGGGTGGATGGTTGGCGGGTTGTGGTTGGGGATTGAGGGAGTGGTTTGGCTTGACAAAACCACATTTACACTCACTTAACTCGAACGGCACACGGAGGTCGCGCCGCGCTGAGACCCTGGGCTGCCTGCCACGAGACGCCGCCTTGGAAGGAAGTCTCGGAAAACAATTGCCAAGTGGCAGGAAAAGGCAAAAAATAAAACACAAAAACACATACACAGAGAGAAATAGTAGAGGGTGTGATTGTCGATAAAGATTGAAATTTATCTAGAATTGTTATTGATTTTATTGTAATTATTATTTAAATAATGTGATATATTTAAAAAGTATCTTTTGATTATCTAACTTTAAAGAATGTTTTTAACTTTGGTACAATTTATATAACGTGGGGATTAAATTCTATTACAACAATGATATGAACCCTTAATCCATTCGATATCTAGTTAGATTGTGGATACCAATGTGATGCTATTATTTCTCAAGATAAAAAAACTTTCAATTATAATATATATATTTATACAAAGTCAAACATTTAAAAATAAATACAAATATTTAGATTAGCTATTTGGTGCTGCTTTTCAGTAAATCCAAACTGTTTTGCATGCTTTAAGTTGAGTGTTGTTCTGTTGTTCTGAAATAAATATTAGTATAAGCAAGAATAGACAAAAATTAAAAATATTGAACATTGCAATTAATATTAAAAATTTCGTACTGTTTTTCAGTAATTTCAAATTTTGCTTAAGTTTTTTTATCTTTCTCTTTGAATCAGTTGTTCATATTTGCTGTAGAATATTTGATAACGCAACGTTATTTTCGCTCTGTGTACATAGCTACACACATTAAATATATACACATAAGGACACGACGAGTGTGATAGAATGTAAAGGGCGCTTTTGCACAAGCTGCTTAGGGCCCTGAAGGATTTTGTGTGTGGCTGGTTGGCACACGGCAAACAAAGGGCTGCGATTGAAACACTTGTTGCACGCCACAAAGGATAATGACGTGACAGACATGAACACACTCGCACACACACATCCATAAAGCAGCATGTGTAATAAGTAATAAAGCAAACAAGCAACGCGCTTCTTGTAATAAACTGCAAGGGCCTGCAGGACACAATCGAGGCGCTGGCAAACAGTAAAGTAAAGGACTTGTGTGTGTGTGTGTGTGTGTGAGTGCAAAGTGCAAATATGCCAGGGGCGTGGCAACTAATCACAGCCAGGCCAGGCACTCATCCAACAGGGCCCAAGGCCGGGCAATAAACTTATTTGACGGCGCACAGAAGTAGGCAACGATTTGCTCCCTTCACACTGGCCGTGTCGCAAGTGCTCGCCCATAAAATTCAATTGCCTGTTATAAAAATTGTGCGCGTGATCAACACATCTATATATATATATACATATATAATTTTAAGCTGTAACTAATAAAACGGCTGATAAGCGGCGTCGTCTTTTGATTTTTATGCCAGCAACAACACTTGCTGAGATTCACGAAATTTATTGTTATGGCCAAGGCAGGCAGGCAGTCTAGCAAAATACGGCTAAATATTCGCATTTTAAATGCTTAGCGCTGTCGCTTTTTATGACACAATTTGAGCCTGTCTTTTGTAGTTTTCCATTTTCATTTTCATTTCGTTTGCGATTATTTTTTTCTGTTTTTTTTTTTTTCAGTTTTTTTTTTTTTTTTTGCAATTTGCATAAAAATTGTTAGACTCTTTGAGGCTTATGGCAGCAATCTCACACATTTGCTTATCGCTTATGAATATTTTGACGCCAGGCTCGAGCAGCTAGCTGCCAAGTGTCAAGTGCCACAAAATGTGAATAAATTAGCCGATTTTTTTTTGGGGGGCGCTCAAATCTGTGCCGCTGGCCAGTTGCCGATTGTCCTTTTATGAAGTGTTGATGTTAGTTTGAGTTAGTCCTCGAGCTGAGCAATAAGAAGCGATAATCGTGTTGATATGCCCATTGACTGTCAATTTCTTGGATTCATTTTGTGCTTACACTCTGAGAAATAAATCGGATGGATTTTGAACATTTTTAAATGAACTGACAAATCATTCTTGATTTCACAATTTAGCTTAAACTGTTTTACTGTCTTGCAGTCACTTTAAGTATCACAAAATCCACCTCTTGAAATAAATCAATTTACTCTTCAATTCTTCGGAGCATATCAACTAATCACAGCTGTATTTCTTTCTTTCTCTTGCAGGATTTATCTGGTCGCTTCTAATTTAAAATGAAAAAAAAAAGAAAAAGAAAAACACACACATATACATACATATACACACAAAACATACGTATAGCATATAGAAACGCATAAACTTAATTGCATTGAGTACCATAGAAACTAATATCCAATGTTTAGCGCTTATAATTAGTAGAATTCTGTGTGCATTGAAAAACGATAACAAAAAATTGAATAAAAACTTAACGAAAACAAAGTAAAAACAGCGCAATATGCAAGCAAAAAAATAATGAAATAAGAAAAAGAAATAAGATTCTAACCATTCAGAAACACTTTGAAAGAAATTTTGAATACCAACAGCAAAAACAAACAGAAGAAGAACCCATGCAAGCAAATATTGCTAGTTAGTAAGTCATACTTTGTACATATTAATTTTAATGCCCTTAGCATAAAGTGAACCACAAATAACAAAAGCGTAAAACGTACATAAATAAAACAAAAAAAGATAAAAGAAAAGAAAGAAAACATAAAACACAAAAAAAAAAAAGAAAATAGAAAATGTTCCAAGAAAAAGCAAGCAAGATTCAGCGAAAAATCCAGTAGACGGAAAAGATGTGAAACTTTAAAATCAATTAGCACAATTATGTAATAACTTATGCTTAACATATTTAATTGACAACAAAATATTCTTAAATATAATAAGAATAATTGTAATTTGTACATTTTTTTTCTTAGAACGCTTAAAACGGAAAGAAAAAGTCTTTAAATCATATATATGATGTGTGTATATGTTAAATATATGCTTAGGATTTGCAATGGAATACGTAATATGTGTATATTCTCTGGTACTACTACGACTACTCTATGTAAATAGCTCTGTGGCCCTTGACGAGGCCTAAATACATATATATGGCTTACGAAATTTTCTGTTTTGTGAAAATCGTTAATCCAATTGAAAATAAACAAAAAATAAACAACAACAAAAAAAACAAGGAAACACACAAATAAATAAAAACTGAACGCTAAGAAAACTGCGCTATTTACGTTTGTTATAAATAATAAGCCCTTAAAGTTAATAAAAAAAAAAAAACACACACACACACACAAAACAAATTGAATGTAATTCATACAAAATTATATACATGCAAATGTATATATTTAAATATATTAGTCGTTTAAGTAAATGTAAATGTTGCTAGGCAAATAAACGTAATTGAAAATAAAACTAAATAAAAAGTAAAATACTACCTAACTTTACCTACTGCGCATATTTGTGTACTTTTATGGGCTAAATGTTAATTATTAATTAGATTGTACAATTCAAACGTAGCTCATAATATTTAATAACAAATTACACACATATATATATACATACATATATAATATATGGATAACGATGATAATAAAACAGACAACAAGAAATACAACTTGCAGAAATGTACAATTAAATAATTCTCATTAAATCGGAAGGGACGGGCTAAAAATATTATTAGCTTGTAATTTTTACAAATTCTAGTTAGTGCAATGATGTAAAATTCGTATAAAACTTTGGTCTGGTCTCTAAGAAAGTAATTTATAGCTGATGTATTCAGAGCAGTTTATGTGGCGCCATCTATTGGTCGGTAGCTAACTTAAGATATAACAATGGCCAGTCTGTTATTCTAAATCTCACAAGTAGATGGCGCTCGCGGGCAGTTTGAGAGCAACTGACGCACAACACAGTTGCCAATACAGTTTTATTTTAGTTAAATTATTGGTCTAAACTGTTATAGGTTAAAATCCTTAGCTATCTTGATGAAATTTTTAATATTATCGTTCCCATGCAGCAGTCAAAACACTTGTGTTAATTGGTTTGAATAATTTTTGAAGCATCAATTTGGGATGATGCAAAGTGGCCAGACACAAAAAAAACTCTAACTCGGACGAGTCCTTACAGATATTCGAAGTACATGAGAAGTGCAAGGACTAACTTTATCGAGCTGCAAACACTTGGAAAAATTTCGCTTTAAAAGCGAAAAGAAATGTGTCGAAATCACAAAATTGTGATTGGTTTCGGGGAGTTTATTTGAATGTCCTTTGGCCAGCTGATAATATTGTTCAACCTGATATATTTTGAATATATATTCGTCAGGATATGGCAGAGTGATTTAAGAAAAGTTACGTCATTTCAGCTGTTTTCTGCATTTATTTTATTTTATTAGATTTTATTGTTTTATTCGAATCGGCAGGTAAATGACTATCTGTGTTCCAAGGACATCCGTACAATCCTCGCCATAGTAAAGTTACACCAAATTATTAGATTTTTCACACTTTTTTTGTAATTTTTCGCCAAATGGTTTTTTCTAGAAATCGGACAATCTTTGAATGCAAGTCGAGTATCCTTTTTTTTGTGATCTGAATGAAATCTTTTTCCGAAATCCTTCTGGAATTTAAAAGAGGAATATGCATTGTACTAAGCTAATTCGAACTAGGCCAAATCATTGCAATTTTTCAAAGTACATGGAGACGTTAGAATGCAAGGACCAGCTGCATCGAACTGCATTCAAGGATAAAGATGTTATCTTGTAGAAATTTCACTAAGAACATCCTGGAACCATAGCAATTTTGATGCTCTGGCCAAATTACGACCTAAATTTTTCTCAAATTCTGTAAGTCCTTAAAATCCAATCGATATTCCTTCCTAAATACTTATGGACATGGCTGTGCTATGAGTTCAAAGCGCAAATCCTAACAAATTGATTCAACAATTTTTGCCAGTGCATTTAATCATTCATTTCAATACATATACAACATTATATATATATAATCTTGCTTATGTTATTTTTTTTACATTTGTATTTTATTGAACAAAGAAGTTGAAGCTTAACAATTTGCTTGAATACATTGTGGAATTATTTCAATGAAAAGTATTCTTGCAATCGTCTAAGGATGCCAATTTGCAGGCTGCTGTTGTTCGATTTAATAAAAGCAGTCGCTTACATTAAGCCATCAAATTGCTTTGTTTGCGGCCATATTACATAATGTAATAGCTGATGAGCTCAATCAACAGGTGCCGTGGCTGGTGCCATGGCTGTGCAGTGGTTCAATAACCTGGCCAAGAAGCCAGCTTCTGGCTGAGATGCCATTGGGCGTGATACACTTTTCACTGTGTACTAGTATTGATTGTATGCGTGTGTGTGTGTGTGTGTGTGACACAAAATAGGAATAATTCAATAGGTGGCGTGACAGGCAGTCAGTTGGTCCTGTTGCGTAATCAACGTCCTTTGCAGGCAGCGCACGTTTCATGTTTTTCTGCGCTAATGTTTGCCAGTGGCGAAGTCAACTCCTGTGTGAGTGTGTGTGTATGTGTGTGTGTGTGTGTGCATGCGCGTGCAACAATTTGAGCCGGATCTGCGTGGACTTATTATGACGGACTTCAAGTCCGAGTCGGCGGCGGCGTCGGCGTCGGGGTCTGAGTCGTAGTCGTAGTCCAAGTCGGAGTCCTTGCCCGTATCCGCGTCCGTGTCGAGACGGAAGTCTTTGCTGTCGCTTGATTCGCTTTTGAAATCATTTTTGGTACTTTAACACTTTCGGCGCTGGCATCTTTGCTGGCCGTTTCGCCTTAATTTGCGCTTTTATTATGGCCCGGGCACGAGTCGGTTGCTGCTGCTCATCATAAATGCAAAACCCAAATAAATTCTTAAGCTACGAAATTTTTGCATGCAAATTCTTGACCTCAGCCACGCACAGTGGCCAGAGCAAGCGTGCCAAGCGACAAAGACACTGAGAGAAATATCTTAATCTAATCAAGAGCGTCTACTAAGACTCAAAGGACTTCAGTCATGTTGATCTTATTTTAAGCACGATTTTAGTAGTCCAAAACTGTACTTAAATACGAAATCTTTTTCAAAAAATATTGTTGATTATGTTAAAATAATGCTTTATATATTTATTTAAGTTAAATCAAGATAAAATATATAAAGTAAAAATGTTGAAGCAAATATTTGAGTTCTTGATTAAAGCCAATTAAGTTGGATTTCAGACAGTACATTTTAAAATATAATAATAATAATATTAACCGTTAACCGAACTTATTCCAATTATTTTATTCTTAATTCTATTAATTTCAAATTTTGTTGTACTTTTTAAGTCGTTTTTGATGTAAGCTTACTAATATTTATGTAAGTTTACTTAATGTAAGTTAATATAAGTTTACTTAATGTAAGTTAATATAAGTTTACTTAATGTAAGTTAATATAAGTTTACTAAAATTGCAAATATTTTATCTTAAGTTCAGTCAAATTTTTGTTACACTTCGGGCTCAAACAACCAACAACCAGCTGACAACAACTGATGAGCAACGCAAAAGTTGGCAGCCACAATTTGGTTAAATTAATTTGAAAAACCCTTTGCTGCTCATACATATTTATGAATACTGGACAAAGGTTGCGGGCCAGCAAACATCGACAAGAACTTCACCTCAAGACAGTGGGCTGGAATTAAAAGTTGGCTGGTAGACTGACTTCTCGGAGCAACAGTTGCTCAAATGCTGCTTCGCATGTTGCTCATACGCCAGCAAGAAGCAGAAACAGCAACAACAAAAGTAGCCCAAAAGAAAAGGGCGAGCACCAAATGCTAAAACAAAGTTGCAGGCTTGCCAAACTCAATTTCCATTCAGCGCCCTTCTTTGGCATTATGCTAATGCCAAGCAAGGCAGGCAGGCAGCAACAACAGCAACAACAGCAACAACAATGAAACGCGTCGAGTCTGAGGCGTCTCCTGTTGCTGCACAATTGTCAAGGCTCCTCCAAGGTGAGAGCTTCTTCGTCTTTTTTTTTATCGAATTGGCAATAAAAATGCGCTAGAAGCACCAGCTGCCTTTGCTTATCGCGCTGACTTTTTGCTTCCGGTTCTTGCCTCGGACAGGATAACGACGTGGACGACGGAGACGACGACAACGACGACGACGACATCCACGTCCTGCCTTGTCCTGTCGCCGTATAACAAATGTGAGACGACTGCCTCGTCGCTCTTCAACAAATTGTTGCGCTGTCGCTGCGTAAACATTCCTTATTCTCTCTCTCTCTCTCTCTCTCTCTATCTCTCTCTGTCTCTCTCTGTCGGCCTCTCTCGCTCAATCGCTTGTGCTCTCTTCTCTGCTTGTTGTTTGGCAAATTGCGCATACGCCGTGTGCGTCGGCATTCAAATAATGTATTGCCCACTGTGCATCCTTGTGGCTGGTTTGAAATGACTGTGCTACGCTGCACACTGGTCTTCATTGCTTGTTTCGACATAAATTCATTAAGATATTTTTCACTTTAATAATAAAACATTTTTGTTATTGTTCCATAAATAAATTGGTGAAATTCACAAAATATGAAAATGTTTGTGCAACGCACTCTGTTTTTAAGAGTCCTCAAGATATTTATGTGTGTTTAGTTTTGCCATTAGCTTTAATTTTATTTCAAATTTGTTATTATTTTATTTAGATGTATATAGCAATTACTTGCTTCACTCTTAGAAATTTAATATCTTTGTGCATTACTTTTAAAAGATCGGCTTAAAGAAAAGTTAATAAGCCAATAGATTAAGCACAGATCAAAAAATTACCAATAGTTGATACTTTTCACGCAAATGCTTTTCCCACACATATTAAAAATCGAAACAAAAAATTCTCAATTATAATTTTAACATATTTTCCATTTGTTAATAGTTTGAAGTGTGAATTATTTTGTACTCTAAATAAGCACCGTGGATTTTAAGTAAATGAATCTAGGAAACTTTTTTGGTTTTTCTGATTTAGACAGAATAAAAAAGTATATTTCGTACCACTGTGCAGTGCGTATAACAGTGTGCCTGTTGAAATTCCAGCTGCTCCAACAACAGCTCGCCGTGCTCAGTTCGTTGTCAGTCCTCGTTCTGGTTGCACGTTGCACGCGCTAAGACGCACAACAACAACAAAAGCTAAAACACAGCAGACCAGCAGCAGCAGCATCAGCATCAGCAGCAGCATCAGCATTAGCAGAATCAGCAGCAGCGGCGGCAGCACCATTAACCAGTAAAACTCCCAAAAAAAAACAGGACCTGGCCAACTGCACAAGTGGCGCGATTAGCTCGAC